TCAGGGGCTGGGGCCAGGAGAGTGGGGCTAAATGTCGAAACATTGGGCAGGGATCTTGATGGGGCGGGAGGACCCAGAGTGTGGAGGAGGGGATGGAGCCTGAGGATCCGGATGAGGTCCAAGTCCAAATAAGGGGACGGGTCCAGGCATCTGGATGGATTTTAGCAATGTGTCAGACTTGGGAGAACAATATATCTAAGGCCCAGATGGAGCCTGGAGATCCTGACAGTGCGAGCATTTGTGTCCTGGGAACCCCTCAGCCCCGGACAAACCAGGATGGTTGGTCCCCAGTGAAGAGGACGCTGGATTTCAAGAATCAGGAGATCATGCAGTTATTATTTTTTAAATTGAGGGAGAGAGAGAGAAACACCTATTTGTTGTTCCACTTATTTATGCATTCATTGGTTGCTTCTTGTATGTGCCCTGACCGGGAATCAAACCAAATGCTCTAACCAACTGAAATATTCGGCCAGGGCTGAGATCATAACATTATTGCAGGGGGTCTGAGAGTCATGACAACATCTCAGAATCACAATGGAATCTTAAGATTATCACAGCTCTGAATGTTATGACACTGTTGTCCCTGGGTCATGACATGAGACACCCAGGCTCCAGCCAGCTGTGACAAGATTTCAGGCTGAGGAATGTGATTCAGTCCAGGGAAGTCTGAGCAGGTTGTGATGTTCCATGTAGGAATCAGAGGGCTCTTCCTCTGGACATGAGAGCCCCTAGAGCAGTGGTTCTCGGCCTTCTGGCCCTTTAAATACACTTATGTGACCCAACCGTAAAATTATTTTCGTTGCTACTTCATAACTGTAATGTTGCTACTGTTATGAATCGTAATGTAAATATCTGATATGCAGGATGGTCTTAGGCGACCCCTGTGAAAGGGTCGTTTGACCGCCAAAGGGGTCGCGACCCACAGGTTGAGAACCGCTGCCCTAGAGAGATCCTGGCAGCACCAAGCCCCCACCAAGCCTCTCGGAGTCCTCCCTTGGGAGGGTCTGGGGGCAGGGCCGTCTCTCACCCTTCCCTCTCCCCACAGCCAGCTCCTGGAGGACCTGGAGGGCAGCAGCAGTGCAGTGGGCATTGCAGAGTGCTTCGTGCAGAGGGTGAGTTGGGGTGCCAGGGCTCAATCTGGACTGGTGCCTGGGTAAGTGAGGAGCAAGCCTGTGCTGGGGGGTCATGGGCAGTCTGAGGTGCTAATCCCCCTGTCACTCACAGAGTGAAGATTTTGACATCTACACGTTGTACTGCATGAACTACCCAAGGTGAGGGGTTCTAGGTTGTGCCCAGGAGCTGTTGTGCCAGCCAACCTCCCTCCACTCAACCCGTCTACCCCTGCCAGACTGTGACAGTAACTGAACTCTCTCTAGCCTGCCCTTGACCCCTGCCTGCCCCCAACCCTCCCACCCCTGCCCACCAGAGATGCCCTCTCTTGACCTGTTCTGTGCCCCCAGCTCTCTAGCCCTGCTCCGGGAGCTGTCGCTGTCTCCACCCGCAGCCCTGTGGCTGCAGGAGCGCCAGGCCCAGCTCCACCACTCACTGCCCCTGCAGAGCTTCCTCCTGAAACCTGTTCAGCGCATCCTCAAGTACCACCTGTTGCTGCAGGTTTGCTGTGGCCCTTGAGGGTTTGCTTGGGGGGAACAGGTCCTTCCCATGGACCACCCAGTGGTGCATCGAGAGGAATGAACTGGGGAAGGTCTGGGGAGGCATTTGGTCCCTACAGACTGCCAGTGCTTGGGGTAGGGTCTTGTTGGCAATGGGGACTGGCATCAGCTGATTCGACTTTCTATCTCTTCCTGTTTATCTCTCTCTGCCTCTGGATCTCCATCTCTGCCCCTACCTTTATATGTCTCTCTGTCTCTATCATTATCATTCTTTCTTTTTCTCTGTTACTGTTCCCTCCCCCCGGTTGTCCGGTGACTGCCTGGCAGGAGCTGGGCAAGCACTGGGTTGAGGGCCCGGGCACCGGGGGCCGCGAGATGGTAGAGGAGGCTATCGTGTCCATGACAGCCGTTGCCTGGTACATTAACGACATGAAGCGCAAGCAGGAGCACGCTGCGCGCCTCCAGGTGACTCCAGGGTGGGCTGGATGGGAGGAGTGGGCATGAGGGCCTTCGTGGGGATGGTCAGTGCTTCACAGGCGGCCTCAGAAGGTGGGCTCAGACAGCCCGGCCCCTTGTTAGCGCCCCCGTGCTGGGATGTGTGTGCCTCCCGTGATGTTTCTGTGTCCCCTGTACCTGATGGGGTCTTGGCAGGAAGTGCAGCGGCAGCTGGGCGGCTGGACCGGCCCGGAGCTCAGTGCCTTCGGGGAGCTGGTGCTGGAAGGCTCATTCCGAGGTGGCGGAGGGAGTGGCCCCCGACTTCGAGGGGGTGAGCGGCTGCTCTTTCTATTCTCACGGATGCTGCTCGTGGCCAAACGCCGGGGGCCAGAATACACCTACAAGGGTCACATCTTTGTGAGTTACCTACAAACTATATTCTATGTACTGATACCTGTATCTCTAAAGGGGTGACCAGGGGCAGGGTCTGGAAGGAGGGACAACCAGGGCCATGTTTTCTAGAGTCTGAGGGTATAATAAGGATGGTGAGGCCAGTGGAATGCAGAGTGGGAGGACATGGATTTGCTCACCAGACAAGTGTCTTCACGGGGAATGCACATCTTAATTCACATGAGGGTAGGGAGGGCTGGTGAGGGAGAGCAGAGCCCAGCCTGGAGGAGAGGATCCACGGGAAGGGGGACCCCATACAACCATACAGGGCACATCTTTCTAGGGGGTAGGAACCCAAATGCAAGGGCCACATTGTTGAGTCCAAGGGCTCTGAGCCTGCCACCCTCTCTGCTCGCCTATTCAGTGCTGCAACCTGAGTGTGAGCGAGAGTCCTCGTGACCCTCTAGGGTTCAAGGTGGCCGATTTGACCATTCCCAAGCACAGGCACCTGCTTCAGGTGAGGAGAATGGGGCTGGGTGGGCAGGGTTCCCTCCAGCTCATAGACCTCGCACCTGACTTCCCACTCCACCCCCACCTGCCGCCAGGCCAAGAACCAAGAAGAGAAGAGACTGTGGATTCACTGTCTCCAGCGTCTCTTCTTTGAGAACCACCCTGCCTCTATCCCAGCCAAGGTACAGCTCCTGCCACAGACAGGGGCTCTCAGAGTGCCAGATACTCTGGCCCCCAGTGGTTCTGGAGGACACTGAGTGCCGGGGACTCTCTTAAAACGTGGCGGTTAAATTGCAGATAGGCTGCCTGGGTTTGAATTTCAGCTCCACCGTGTCCCGGCTTGGTGACTTTGACCAACCTCTCTGACCTCAGTTTCCTCACCAGGAAGAATAATAGCACCAACCTCATAGGGTTGTGGTGAGGAATAATTGTCATCAGTCATGTAATGTGCCTGTCATGTAGCAGTACTCACTAATGGGACTATGACTCAGGGGCTCAGGAGACGGGCTCCTCAACCCTCATCCTTGTGTCTTTCAGGCAAAACAAGTTCTTCTTGAAAACAGCCTGCACTGTGAGTTGGGGCCTTGGGTTGGTAGGTATGGAAGTAGAGGGGTTACTTCCAAGAAAGAGTAGATTCTTAGCCCCAAATCTCTCCCCACAGGTGCTCCTAAAAGTAAGCCTGTCCCAGAGCCTGTGATCCCCCTACTTGGGTCTCCCCGACCTCCAGATGCCAGAAGTTTCACCCCGGGACGAAGGAACACAGGTAAAGAAGAGTTCCGCCCCCTTTGCCCCCAGGACTCAGGAATGTCCGTACCCCCAGCCCTTCCTCTCCTAGAAGCCTGGGGTTGGGCTCATAACGAGGTTCTAATCTGCCTCTCCCACAGCTCCGTCTCCAGGCCCCTCCACTGCCCGCCATGGCCGTAGACAGTCTGGTGAGTTGATTCCACTGAAAGGTTAACTAGGGATCGGGGTGGGAGCTGGGCCCCTGACATCAGTGTGTCCTCTCCCCAGAGCCAGTGAAGGACCCTTATGTCATGTTTCCACAGAATGGTAAGTGACTGCCCAGCCCAGCCAAGTCCAGCCCTGCCTGTCTGTCTCTTCCCATGGCATGCCCAGTGTTTACGGGGGAGTGGTGATAGGGCAACTCATCAATTATAAGGAGTAAACTTATTCCTACATCTCACTTTTTTTTTCATTTCTTCTTTCCCAGCTAAGCCTAGACTCAAGGTAAGAAGTCTCTTGGGATGGAATCTGGGGACCCAGAACAAGAATCTGATGGAGGAGGGAGCTTGAGTTATCAATTCCTGGGTTTGAATAAGAAGGGGACTGGGAAGCATGGGTGCTGACAGCTCTGGGTGCATGCCCTCCATTCTTTCCTTCCTCATAGCATGCTGGCAGTGAGGGGGAGCTCTACCCCCCTTTAGAGCCTCAGCCATCGGGTCCAGCTTCTGGACCTGCTGAGGACTTGGAAGACACTGGACCCCCCACGCTGGACCCCTCTGGGACCTCAATCACTGAAGAAATCCTGGAACTGCTGAGCTGGGCATCCCGTCACAGTGTCCTTGGGGCTCTCGCTTGGGCAGGCACAGACCGGGCACCGGAGCAGCCAAAGCACCTGATACTGTTGGTCTCTTCCCCAGTGCCCGCTACAGCCGCCTCCCCACGACATTCCCGAGTTCCCTGGAGACTCCCAAGTGCCACGTGATGGTGAAAGCCTCACATTCCCAGCCCTGCCCAGCCGGGACTCTTCCGAAGAGGAGGACGAAGAGCTGGAGCTGGACGAACGGAGCCCTTCCCCACTCCATGTCCTGGAGGGACTCGAAGGCTCCGGTGCAGCCGAAGTTCCCGACATTCCTGGCCTTACCAAAAATCCTGCCGTGTCCACCCTCCCTGAGATGTCTAGCCTCTCTGAAATTCCTCCAATGCCCTGCCTTCCCAGTCTCTCTGACATTTCCAGTGTTTTTGAAATGCCCTGCCTTCCAGTCATACCTAGTGTCCCCGACATTCCTGGTCTTTCCAGCCCTCCCACCCTTCCCTGTGACTCTTGGCTGCATGGCCCGCTACAGGAGCCAGATGAGGCTCTCGCCACCAGGAGAGAACTGTTCTCTGGAGCCCGTGCTGGGAAACTGGGAGAGCCCTCCTCAGACGGCAGGGCAGGGCAGGCAAGGGAGGAGGAGGATGGGGTATCGTTTCCAGATTTCCAGCCCCAGGATGGTGCCCAAGATCAGGATGAGCTGGGATTCCGCTCTTGCTCCGAAATCCGGAGTGCCTGGCAGGCTCTGGAGCAGGGGCATTTGGCCCGGCCAGGTTTCCCAGAACCGCTGCTGATTCTGGAAGATTCAGATCTGCGAGGAGGGAGTGGGAGCGGAAAGGCTGGAGCCCCCAGTACAGAGCGGGCCGCATCCCGAGTGCGAGAGTTGGCCCGGCTGTACAGTGAGCGGATCCAGCAGATGCAGCGGGCTGAGACGCGGGCATCGGCCAATGCCCCCCGCCGCAGGCCACGGGCTCTGGCCCAACTCCACCTGTCCCCCTGCCTGCCCCACGAGCAGGCCGAGCCAGGTGAGGTCCGGGTATGTGGTTGGCAGAGGCAGCCCATGCTGGAATGCCAATACCTGACTCAGTCCTCCTTTCTTTGAATACAGGGCCCCTGCCTGCATTTGGACACGTGTTGGTGTGTGAATTGGCCTTCCCGCTGACTTTGGCCCAGGAATCTGTCCCCCTGGGCCCTGCTGCCCAGGTTCAAGCTGCTGCACCCCTGTCTAAGCAGGGAGGCTGCCTGGGTGGCCAGGGCCTAGATGTTTCCAGTTTGCCTGAGCAAGACCATAGGGGCATCCGGACTCCAGATGCTACCACTTTGCCTGAGCAAGGCCTCTGGAACATCCAGATTCCAGCCACCACACCTTTTCCCAAGCAGGAAGGCCCAGATGTCCAGGTCCCAGCCATTACATCTCCACCTGATCAAGAAGGCCACCCAGAAATGCAAATTTCAATGGCCACTCCTTTGCCTGCACATAGAGGCCACAGGGATATTCAGCTCCCGGCTACCACCTTTTTCCCTCAGCAAGAATGTCAGATGGACATCCAAGTTCCAACCACCCCAGCTTTGCTGAAGCAGGGAAGTTGTTCTCGTGTCACAGGTTTAGCCACCTCTCCTATGCCCGAGCAAGAAGACCACCGCGACTGTCCAGCCAGCACCCTATTAACTAAGCAGGGAGGTTTCAGGGATGTTCGGTCCCCAGCCACTGTCTGCAGCCAAGCCATGGACCCTTTGCGTCTGCATGGAAGCAGCCTGGACCATCGGATCCCAGCCAACACCCCACTGCCCTTGGAACCTGACCTCCCAGACATTCAGGTTCTGGATACCTCGCCTTTGCCTGTATATGGAAGCCACCTAGACCATCAGATCCCAGCCAATGCTCCATTGTCTTTGCCCCAGGATCTCCCAGACATTCAGGCTCCAGTTGCCATAGCTGTGCCCCAACCACAAGGCCTCAAGGACACACGGGTCCAAGCACTCGCACCTTTGCCCAAGCAGGGAGACCTGCCAGACATCCAGGCTGCCACTGCTGTACCTTTGCTCCAGGAGCAAAGCCTCACAGACCTTCAGGTCCCCAAACCTACACCTCTGTTGGAGCAGAAGAGCCTCACAGACATCCATTTTACGGCTGCCACTCCTCTGCCTGAGCAAGGAAGCTCATGGGACATTCAGGGCCTGTCACCCACCCCAGTTCAGACCACTGTGGCTTTGTTGAAACCAGAAGGCCACCCTGTCTCTCCCATTGCCAGGTCAGAGTCTTCAGACTTGACTCCACCCCACAGTCCCTCACCCCCAACCCGTCAGCTCCTGGGTCCCAACGCAGCTGCTCTCTCAAGATACCTGGCAGCCTCATACATCAGCCAGAGCCTAGCTCGGAGGCAGGGGCCTGGGGGAGAGGCCCCCCAAGCTTTCCGGGGTTCCTGGTCCTCTTCTGCCCCCACGTCACGGGCACCTTCACCGCCGCCCCAACCCCAGCCCCAGCCCCCACCACCTCCAGCCAGGAGGCTCAGCTATGCCACCACAGTCAACATCCATGTCGGGGGTGGCGGGCGGCTACGGCCAGCCAAGGCCCAGGTCAGGTTGAACCACCCTGCTCTATTAGCTTCCACCCAGGAATCTGCGGGCTTTCGCAGAGCCCAGGGGGCTCCTGATGCCCCTTTCCACATGTGAGCCAGGATATCAGACTTCTTAAAAAGCAAGGACTTCAACCAAATGCCACAGACTCTCAGAACTTCACCCAGAAGTCCAGACACTGAAGACAAGTCTAAAATTGCTGCAGCTTTCCAACTTCTAGGTCTGCTTTGGCAAGTGGTCCTTATTACTTACCTTGATTAACTCAGCAGGGATGGGGATGGGGATTTCATTAATATTTTGTTAATTAATATTGTGACAGTATGTCTCATTTCCAGTTCTGGAGATAGTGGGGGATAACAGAAGACGATGAGTGGGAAGGTCTGTCACAGTACAATTCAGTGGTTCTGAAAATTTGGGAAATTTCAAACTCTTTCAAGAATTACTGGAACCTGGACCCATTTCAATTTGGTGTGTGATTTCACAGGGTTTATGAACTGCTTTATGCCCATCCAGAAAAGCTCAGAAGCTTTGTTCCACGTACAAATTCATTCCCTTAGCAATTTATCCAGTCCGTGTGTCCCATCATCACCCACTTATCTCATCCGCTCGGCCACCTTTACATTTCTCTATGCAGCTGTCTTTCCATCTATTTCACCCATCTTTCAATCCATCATCCCATCCATACGCCTTGACTTATTCAACCATCTCTATTCCTCCATCATCCCACCCACCCATCTAGCATTCATTCGTCCACTAATCCATTGATCCCTCTGTCATCCCACCTGTTCATCTTTTCCACCCAACCCTCTCCATTCATCCACGTAACCCTCCATATTTCCATCTCTGTCCGTTCAGCTGTACGTCTTATTCACATAACCATCTCCTCAACCATCTTGACCACTATCCATCCTTCATTGGATTCTGCTGGGTCTTGGTACTACAGAACTTCAAAGACAGTTCCATGCTAACACCAAACTGGATCAGGTTTGAGATTCTGAGAAAAGTTTGTCCCTCATCTGTCCAATCCTGGCGAACACTCCCACCTTCATGACTATTCGGGTTCTTGTGCTCACCCACACATAATCAGACCCCTTTCCCCCCCTTCTCTAGTTTGAGACCTGTACAGTGCCTTAGTGTGCCCCCTCAACCCCCAGGAAATTCAGGTTATAGAGACAAAGGCTTTTTCCAAAAACAATTTTTTTAAATTATTGATTTTAGAGAGGAAGGGGAAGAGTGAAACCTCAATTTGTTGTTCCACTTATTTATGCATTAATTGGTTGATTCTTGTATGTGTCCTGCTGGGGATCGAACCTACAACCTTGGCCTATGGAGACAGCCTTCTAACCAACTGAGCTACCTGTCCAGGGCCAAAGGATCCTTTATGCCCTCCGAGCTGCAGCACGCCCTGTGAGAAGCATAACCTAATCCATTTCTTTGGTAACATTAGCTTTTTTAATTGAACATTTACCCTCTTGTGCTTTTGCACAGCTTATTTAACCTTTCTTGGAATTTTCTGAGGCACCAGAGTCAATGTAATCTCTCTCTGAGCCTGGGTTTTCTCATGTATAATGAGGACAATAGTATCCCATCTTGTAGGGGTCTTGTAGGGTCACTGTAAAGATTCAATGAAGGAGCCTTGGCCAGTGTGATCCACTGGTTAGAGCATCAGACTGCCCACCAAAGGATCACAGGTTTGATTCCTGGTCAAGGGCACATAACTGGATTGCAGGTTCAATCCCTGGATCCCTGGCTCCAGTTGGGATGCATGAGGGAGACAACCAATTAATTGATGTTTCTCTCCTCCCCTCCTCCTTTCCCTCCCTTCCACTCTTCCTAAAAATGGAAAAAATAACCTCAGGTGAGGATTAGCAACAACCAGTGAAGGTAACCAATTCCCAAGTGTGTTTGAGCCTCCGAGTCAGCACATTGTTCAAATCACAGATGTCCCAGGATCTAGTCCCAGACTGCAGAATCACAACCTCCAGGACGGGAGCCTAGGAACCTGAAGTTTCAGAATCAACTAACAACAGCAAAAAAGGCTGAGATTTATCGAATCCTAATGGCATACCATGGGCATTAGTCACTTCATATGAACTCAATCACTGTGAGTCCTCACAACAGCCCTAAAAGGCAAGTGAGGACTGTAATCCCCACTTTAGAGATGAGGATAATAAAACAGATCGGATAAGGAACTTGCCCAGTCACACAGGCAAGAGGCAGAGCTGGGACTCCCATTTCCTGCAGCCCGTACTCCTGAGCACCTATCCTGTGCCAGACACTGTTTTTGCCTCCGGGGGCACAATAAGGAGCACTTTCCCCACCCCCACCCCCACCCCCAACTTGAGACACGGCCCAGTACTCCAAGGGTCCTAGGTGATAAGGTAGCCAGGACAAGGCCTGGCTTAATGTTAGCTCTGGCTTCTATTCACTTGAGCAGTAACCATGCCCTCCCTACACCAGGGCCTGGGCCTGCTCCGCTGCAGCCTCCCCAAGGTCAGGACAGAGGCAGGCCCTCCTCTCAGCCCCAGCTGCACATTCCCAGCCACCCCCAGCTGCACATTCCCAGCTGAAGGAAAGTTCACAGCCTGACTTGGGCTCCCGGCAGCGCCGGAATTCCCGGTATTTGAGGAGGCGTCAGGGAGGGAGAAAAGGCTGTCTGCTCCAAGGCCTGGCGCAGGGGAAGAGGCAAGTGCCTTTAGCTCCTCCAGATGCATCCCAGCTGTGCCTCTGGGAGGCAGCCAGGAGCCTCAACGAGATGGAGTGAGGGGGGTATCTCTAGATCCTGTGGGAAAACTATGAGCACCAGGCTTGCCTTAGTCCCTCCTGCTCCCAGCCCCTAAATTCCATTCCTCCTGCCTGCCCAATTATATTTGCTTCATAGGCCAGCTCTGAAGCCTCAGGAATATAGTTTGCCTGTTGTAAGCCGCTTTTAGAGCTTCTGCAAAATCAGGCTCAAACAGGGAAGAGCAGAGGTTTGGCTGGTGTCACTCAGTGGTTGAACATCAACCTATGAATCAGGAGGTCACGATTCAATTCCCAGTCCGGGCACATGTCTATGATCCCCAGAGTGGGGAGTGCAGGAGGCAGCTGATCAATGATTCTCTCATCATTGATGTTACTATCTCTCCCCCTTCCTCTCTGAAATCAACACAAATATATTCTTTTTTTTTAAAAGGTAAAGGTGGAGCCGAAACCGGTTTGGCTCAGTGGATAGAGCGTCGGCCTGCGGACTGAAAGGTCCCAGGTTCGATTCCGGTCAAGGGCATGTACCTGGGTTGCGGGCACATCCCAGTAGGAGGTGTGCAGGAGGCAGCTGATCGATGTCTCTCTCTCATCGATGTTTCTAACTCTCTATCTCTCTCCCTTCCTCTCTGTAAAAAAATCAATAAAATATATTTTAAAAAAAAAAGGGAAAGGTGGAGGCTAGTTGGATTGCTCAGTGAATAGAGCGTTGCCCTGTGTACTGAAGGGCCTCCAGTTCGATTCCGCTCAAGGCATGCATGCTCAAGGCATACATCTCGTTGCAGGCTCGATCCCTGGCCCATCGGGAAGCATGCAAGAGGCAATCCCCTCCTCTCCCACTCTCTAAAAACCAGTGGGAAAATATCCTCTCGGGAGGATTAACGAAAAACAAAGGAGGGGGATACTGCTCTCTTCCTTGGGAGCGTTAGGTTAGTGCCAGTCAACTTAAGTTAACCCAAGTGAACTCCAGCTCCCATGCAAAAAGCTTGCTGAGCTGCCTTTTGCCACTGGCCCCTTTTTCTCATCTGTAATACCGTGCAATGCATTCCTCAAATACCACTGTTAGAATTGCCTACAGTCTTCAGTACAGTAAGGTGCTGTATAGGTTTGCAGCCTAGGAGCTGGAGGGGAACAGAATTTGCCACCTCACAATATGCCCATTTGGCATGAGGATTATTTTAGGCTGGTTAAATAGCAGACATGGGAGAAGCTCTGAAAACCAAGTAGAGGTTACCCTCTGTAGGACATTTACTTTTGTAAATTGGAAATCTCCATTGGTGAGGCCCAGGAAGAGGGGAATGACCTTACCTGGAAACTCAATGGAGACAAGGACTTAACACTCTTACCCTTGTTCACTGTGCTATTCCTGGTGATCTATAGCTGATCCCCCTCCCACACCACCACCAAACCCGTCTTCGATCTTCAACTGAAGAAGGTATCCAAGCTTGGCTCCAACTATATGACAAGGACTAGCTCATAAGCAACAGAATTTTATAGGATCAACTCAGTGGGGTTGATTGAGCACCAAGTAGGTGCCATGCTAAGCATCTTCACAACCATTCTGATGAATTATTGTTTTCCTGGGCCTCTTCCTTATACACAGGAATACTTTTTTTCCCCTTCCTGTCATTCTTTTATTATGGCGATGTGTCAGCCAAGAACCCAGAAGGGTAGAGGAAAAATTATTTTCCTTCCCTTCACAACAGGCTGTGTAGTGGGCTGTACCACCTAGGTTTGTGTCAAGTAGTTTGCACAATGAAAACACCTACCAACGCATTTCTCAGAGCATATCTCCACTGTTGGGTGGTGCATGACTGTATTTGTATTTATTCCCTACGTATCAGTGCTATCCCAGATACAGTGGTCGGCAAACTTATGAGTCAACAGAGCTAAATATCAATAGTACTTCTTCAAAATAGACTCGCCCAGGCCGAAAACCGACTTCTGCACGAGGGCCACGAAGTTTCAATCGCACTGTACATGTGCCCGCACGTGGTATTTTGTGGAAGAGCCACACTCAAGGGGCCAAAGAGCCACATGTGGCTCACGAGCCACAGTTGCCGACCACGGCCATAGAACTTTCAAGGAAAATGTTCTCGCCTGTGCAGCTCAGCTTGGTAGTCACACGACTGCGTTGGGTAGGGCAGATACAAAATAGGGCAACTGGACAGTAAATCTCAAGTTCCTTCTGCTATAAAAATTTGTGTAACTTTCCCCTCAAGTAACAGTCTAGTGTGGTAAGATGCCACCAGTACTCAGCAGGGGGAGTATCTCCCCCACCCCCCCGCAGATGGCTGGGACATCTAGGTTGGCTGAGAAGACTGGCATGAAGAGATGCCCTTACCAGAGCAAGTGAGGTGCCTATAGAAAGGCAGAAATGGCCATAGCCGGTTTGGCTCAGTGGATAGAGCCTCCACCTGCGGACTGAAGGGTCCTAGGTTCAATTCTGGTCAAGGGCATGTACCTTGGTTGCAGGCACATCCCCAGTGGGGGGTGTGCAGGAGGCAGCTGATCAGTTTCTCTTCTTGATATTTCTAGCTTTCTATCCCTCTCCCTTCCTCTCTGTAA